AGGTGGATCTCTGTAAGTTCAAGGCCAACCTGGTCTATAGATCGAGTTCCAGGACAGCCAGGGCTGTTACACAAAGAAACCCTGTCTTGAAAACCCCAAACCAAAACCAAACCAAAACATTGATAACAACAACAATAACAAAACAAACCCAAGGTATTGGAGAGATGGCTCAATAGTCAAGAGCACTTGTTTTTGTACAGGACCTGGGTTGAATTCCCAGCTCCTACGAGGTGGCTCACAACCATCTGTAACTCCACTTGCTCAGGGTCCAATGCCACCTTCTCACCTCAGCAGGAAATAAGCAAGCACATGGTGCACAAACATACATAAAAACAATCATAAAATAAGACAGTTCTTTAAAAAGTTCCAAATCCCCCAAACAAAACTCTCCAGCCTTTGATTCTTATTGCTTGCCAACAGAGATGTGTTCAAATCTGGACATTTCTAAGGACATTTCTGAACCATCTTATGGCAGAGATTGTTTCCAGTAGTCCTCATGGTAGTGTGTAAAATCCTCCATGATTTGACAGACAGCCCTACTCCATCTAGCCCCTATGTAGCAGGAAAGCAGGTCTTCAAAGAACTCCTTTATGTCCCTTCTACATCCAGACCCAGAATGGAGCCTGCCTCTGAGAAAGGACTTGATGGTCTATGTTACAGCTGTACATCCTTGAACTTTCTTTCCTCAGAAACTAAACAAGACCATCCTTCTTGGTCTTTGGATGGGAAGGCATGGTGATTATGTTTGTTGAATGAATAAATAAGGTAGTTTTAAAAGGAAGTCTAATACACAGTGTGGTAACTGACAGAGATAAGTGGAGTTGACCACAGAACAACTCTGAGGACATAATCTCTCTTTCCTATCTCTTCTCTCCCCTTTCTCCCTCTGAATCTCTACCCTTTCTCACTTCCCCTGTCCTCCATGTCATTTCTCTTTCTGGGTGTCCATTAGTGGTGAGTGAGCTAGAACACTTTGTCCAATCTTCATTCTACAGAAGAGGAAACTGGGGCAAGAATCCACAGAGATGTGAGCAAGGACTGGGCTACATTCAATTCTGTTTAAAACCTGTCAAAGAAAGAGAGACTCGCTGGTCCAGTACTTAACCAACAGATTCAAATCCAGATTCCGGCCTTTAATCCCAGCACTCGGAAGGCAAAGGCAGGAGGACCTCTGTGAGTTTGAGGCCAGCCTGGTCTATAGAACAAGTTCAAGACCAACCAGAACTACATTGTGAAACCCTGTTTCAAAAAACCCCCAAATGGGATGGAGAGATGGCTTAGGGGTTGAGAGCACTAGGGACTCTTCCAGAGGACCTGAACTCAATTCCCAGCACCCACATGACAGCTCACAATTGTCTATAACTCCTCTTCCAGGGGATCCGGCACCCTCACACAGACATGCATACAGGCAAAACACCAATGTACATACAATAAAAGTAAATAAATAAATAAAACCTAAACAGCAACCCCTCCACCACAAATCCCTAGCAAGTACTCTGATTGACTAGACTAGGGTCACATGAGCTAGTTCTAGGCCAATCAATAGAGAAAGGAAAAGTTGATAAGATTTTCTATTTCAAGAGGAAGAGTCCTTTGGGGGGCTTGACGGTTTACTATAATTGACAGCTCTTCTAGAGTTTCATGATTATGGTGGGGGAGGGGCAGCTCATGGAAGCAAAGAGCCCCTGAACCATTAGAAGACCCAGAGGCTAGAGTCTTGGCAGCAGTAACAGATGGCAAGCCAAATGTCTGGAGTCGGGTGCATGAATTCTCCTCTCAGGATGAGGCTGGCCTGGGAGTCCCTGGACAGCCCGGAGGAGCCCAAGACAAATACAAAACTTGGAAATGGTTGAGATCCTAGCTTGTTTTTATTTCATTTGTCCTCCTCTGAATAGAGAAACTGCTGTGAATTTCTCACTATTGAACCTTGTCTGGACTCCGGGAATTCATGTCATATATTTTCTGGGAGTATTTTGCATGTCCCACTCCAAGACACAACTCTACCCTCAGGGTATAGCCCAGCTTGTATTTGGAAGCTAGATTTGTCCTTGACAGGTTCCTCCAGACGCTTTGGACTGTTCCTGTGACAGAAGCCATCTGTTCCTGCCTGTGTCTGTGCCCCTGTCATTTTCCCCTGCTTGAAATTCATTCCCTCATTCTCTCTGCACCTTTCAGCCCCATCCACCTTTGGAGGTGTTCCTCGAGTCCCTTGTGCTTCCCTGTTTGTTCTAAAGGCACTCCCTCTGTCCTTTAGGCTCAGTGTGTAACAGTAGAAAGAGGCCTGAAGACCAAGGCTCAAGTTCGCCACCAATTCTTTGCACGGCCTGGTTGGGAGTTATTTCCTCTCTCTGCAACTGTTTCCTCTCCTGTGCGATGAGGGAGGACTGGTTTGTTAGAAAGGGAAGCCCTCCCCTCTGCACCATCCCCACCCCAGAGCCGCTGGCATCCTCTCAACTAGGAGGCATGCTGTCTGCATCTGCCATATTCTAGGCTATTCTGTGATTCAGAAATGCTAGTCTGCTCTTTGGTCTTTTTTTCCCCTGCTGAATGAGAGGGCTTGAGGCTCCGTGCTTAAATTGGTGGAGTCCTCTATTCCTCAGGCCTAGAAGTGAGTCTTCCTATCTCAGGAGGGGTCCCACCCTGGCTTTGTCCCCTTTCCATAATTCTTTCCCAGCAGAGTGAGGCCTGGGGGGAAAGGGGTCACCTTGATCAGGGTAGCATGGAAGTGCTCTGGAAGATTGGGCCTGTCATGGAAGAAGGTAACAAGGTCCTGTTGGTTTCTGCTTCAGACCATAGGGAGGAATGGATTTGAGCATTCAAGGTCTCTGGTTCAGCTTCACCTTAACTCTTGCTTCCCTCCAATCCTCCCTTCCAGGTACAGAGTGAGGGGACCAGTAAAAATGCTCTAACAAAATGTGGCAGAGTCAATTAGTTATGAAAAACCCATTGTAAGGATATGTCTGGCTGTGTGGTTGCTGTAAAGCAGATGGGCAGGGTGTAAGGCACTAGAATGAATGAGTTCCCAGTTCTTTTGTGACTTCTTTTGTGGTGTTGCAGACCACCACCAGAGCAGCAGCTATGCTTTAAAGACTATATGGACTTTGCTAGAGTACTTTCCCTCTTGGAGGAGAGTGCTTATAAATGGCTCTCAGAGAGGGATTCTAGGTCCTCTTCCAATGTATCCCATTTGAGAAACATTAATAAAACCTTTGGGAGTGAGCAGCAAGATGGCTCATCTGGTAGCAGAACTTGCCATCAAGCCTGAGGACCTGAGTTCAATCCCAGGGATCCATCTGGTGGAAGGAGAGAACTGACTCCCACATGCTGGCCTCTCATTTCCACAAATGGGCCATAGCACACATACACTTTCCAACACACACACCCACAAACACAAATAAAATGTAAAACAACAACAAAATCCCAAGAAATCAAAAATACCTTGACAGAATTTTGTCAGAAAACTGGGCTGTCAAGGTACCAGATGGCCCCATGTCTCTTAGTAGCAAAGAAGAGGGAAGGTTGAACTGGAAGATGCCATGCAGTCTATATCCAGAGAACTGGGCTGTCAAGTTACCAGATGGCCTCATGTCTCTTAGTAGGAAAGAAGAGGGAAGGTTGAACTGGAAGATGCCATGCAGTCTATATCCAGAGTTCACATAGATGTGGGTAGTATGGAGAGAAATGCAGCCAGCTGCTGGCATCTGTATGCCCATTAAAGTGGGTTTTCTGGAAGGGTTTTCCCCTGCTCAGGCATTTCCCAAACTAGCCAGTGTGTCCAGAGGCCATGGGCAATCATCCAAGTGCCACCTTCCTGAATTGTTGTTTCTGGAGGCAAATTCGCAACTTTCAACTCTTTCTACACTTAGAGTGCTTGATTAGAGAGGAGCTAGCACTCTGCTTAGCAGTCACTAGTGTTACCCGGTGTGTATGCAGTATTTTGAGACAGGGTCTCACTCTGCAAT